TCACGGGTTTATTACGAATCAACTTAACGGCCTGCTCCCAGTTGGCTTGTTAGCTCAATTGGTAGAGCGCTGCACTAGTATTGCAGAGGTCAGTGGTTCGAATCCTGTACAGGCCTGATTTTTTTCAGGTCTGATTTTTGCTATTGCATAAATAGCGCTCTCCACTGCGAGGATTGTGAATCATACGTAACAATAATAATAATAATAATAATAATAATAAAAATAAAACAGTTATAAATGATTGATTCCACATCAGTAAGTAGTATTTGATAATGACAACAGTAAAAGTTATTAAAGATCAGCTGCACTCTGATCATCATCAGTGTTTAAAGGAATGATGAGCATCGTGTATGAACCTTCATTAAGATGAGCCACTTTTTCGAATATCATCTCCGGTTGGACAAGCCGACCAGAGAGCAATGCACCATGTGAACTAGCCTTAAATGTAAACTAATTAGCACGTAGACGACATAAAAACGTTCCGTAAAGTACCTCAATCCACACTGTGTACACTACATCACAGTTCAGGTTCAAACTGCCTTACTAAGTATTTCTAGATTTTACAAATCTTTCTCTTGGCTTTATTTTACACAACTTGACCAGTCTCTTACATTTGATGCAGGGCCGTGAAATCGGATGCTCTTCGATGTCTTGCTCGAGTTTTGAACTGTTAGTGTCATTTGGTGAACAACGTCCGATTCAGCATCAAAAAATTCCACCACAGGGGGAACAATTCGTACTCCTGCCACAGTTCCCTCCATAACTTATGCCTTATCACAAATTCTATTGCATTTTCCAACTCATTAGATGCTTAAGACAGACGAATTTCTTCAAACCACTTTACCCTCAACGTAAAATTAGCCGCCATATTGATTAATGCTGCGGCTCTCGTTGCGTAGAAACAAGCAGAATCCCGGGCATATGATAAGACACGAATTCTAATTGGTCATATTTTCTAATAATCAGTTTTATCCAATCAGAATTCCTGTGTTATCCAGTTTGTCCTTGGTGAAAATAGATCTTGTTGTTCATCTTGACTGGATAACGCGACTGAGTGAAACCAGCACCACCATTGTTAGAAGCATTCTTCCTGCACGTAATACTTGACAGTGTCGACAAAACAACTATTTAGCTTTAAATTCTCGGGTTCGTCTGAAATGCGATCGCATTACTGAAATGTAAACTCTGTGTGACCTTGTGCTTTGCTATGCTTATGGCGCTCATGTATTTGATTGAGAGCTTCTTGTTATGATTTTGCGATAGATCTGTAGATAATACTGACTTGCAACGAATTCCCGGGTGCCTGTGCAAGCGGGAAAAAATGTAGTACAAGTAGAGTTGCTTTTTTGTTTTGTTTTGCTTTTTTTTTTAACGTGTGTCGTTCGACTATCAACTGTTACTTCTGCGAGTGCTGTTGTACTTGTGAAGAAATTTTGCGCCAGCAAAAAGATACGTTTTGAGCGTGTGAGTTGTGCAAATATGTGATAAGACTACAAACAGAAACGGATTAATCTAGCGGCCTTGAACAACAATTGTTTCTTAACGCGATGTCCACGTGGTCACCAACCACCTGTTGAACGATACGTGTGAATATATTAGGGAGACGGCTTTGGATATGGATGGGCCGCGAACGAATGAACTTTACAAACCAAAACAAGCTAACTTTATCCACGACTGTCTCGAGCTCTCAGGTAAGTCCATGATGGTAAATTCAGTTTGAGTTTAGATTTCTTCGCCTGAAGTTTGAGCTTGTTTTATTTTTTTTGTCGTTTTAAATGGCATTTTCTGAGGATGGTTTTTCCCTGAATGGATCCTTTGTTCTTCACGCTTGTAAAAGGTGTGTCGCTCAGGACGAATATAAACTCGTTCCTGGCGACTTAGAATGTAATACTGAGCAAACAACATAAATCCCACAGGTATTATTTGATGTAAAAGTTGTCTTTGAATTATATAGTTCTATAGTTATCAGGCTTTGATATAAAAAGTTTTCTTAGTTGTCTTGCATGGCGATTCGTTGGCGGAAGTAATGTGAGTTGTGTACAAGCTATCGGGAGATATTCATCGGTTGTATTCGTGTAATCTGCCTCATTTCTTAAAAAAAGGCATAACTGGGACTTCTTTTCTTTCCGTTTTCGTGTCTATGAGATGAACGTCGAATTTTCTTTGTCATCGTCCATGGGGTCCTTTTATTTCCTGCAGGCTATATTTTCCCTTTTTCGATAGCCAGTTTAAATATAGTACATTTTTGTTCTATTTTTAGTTAAAATTCTTCCTTTTCACTTTCTTTGTCGGTTCGATCCCTTTTGTAATCGCGTTCCTTTAAAAAACTTTCACGCTATACTGAATTTCAAGTTTATCTTGTCCCGCCACGAAAGTGAAGATGTGATTTGCACATTGCATTGAGGTCACGTAGTGCGATAATGCATCGTAACTCAGCACATCTGGAGGCTACAGCCGAAAAGTCTCATCGTTTTAGCAAATAAGATTTGCCAATTCTGGTTAACTCAGGTCGAGTTACGTTTCTTTTGACAGGTGCAAAATAGAATGAACAGATTTGGATAGAACACGAGGTGACAGGGAGACAAGATTTGAACAGATTTCATCCCCATGCATTTTCAGCCTCCTTCAGTAGCGTTATAGAGAAGAGGTTGGTGTAGAAATTTATTCTTTATCCGTGAATTCTTCGATTTTTATAACCAAGGATAATTTACGTAAGAAGTACTTGAAATGTTGTCAACATGGGCATTCTCAAGGCTTTCTTAAATTATTGATTACAGTAACTATAGAACTTAGAACACATCACTGCAGAAAATTTTCAAAATAAATTTTGTTTCTAAAATAAGGAAGTGTTCGATTTGCCTTACTTGCAAAAAACGAAAGAAGAGAGTTTATTTCAAATTTGAGTTCAGGATACCTCCAGGAGTATTAGGGTTATTTTCAGTGCACACATTTTGTTCTTTTGTTCAAAATGGTGCTAGTAATGTTTTCAGTGGTGTGTTTTATTCCATCAAATTTTTATACAGTAATAAAGAATGTATTTCTGCTGAGTGATCTTATGATCATGATGCATGTTTCCTGCTTTTCAGTAACAATTTTATGAGTTTTTTCTCGTTGAAAATTTTCTTAAATTTTGACGCCTGTTGAATGTAGCTATATCGAAAACTGTGATAAAAAAACAGCTTTTCAAAATGAATTTTTCCTCTCACTTAGATAACTGTAAGGTAAGAGGTTCCTGTTAACTAAAGTGAAAGACAGAAACTTAGAAGGAAACATGCAGTATATTTGGTCACTGTTATTAGATAAAGAGCAGACCCCACCCAATACTGGATATTTACCAGATGAAGAACACCTGTTCATATTGAATTTCTCAGTCTACATTAGCTTTTATTTCAAGAGGACCAATGACAATATTTAAATTGTCCTGCAGACTTGTGGTCTACATGGAGGAATATTTCTTGAAATATTGTATGGACAAAAGTAGGAAAAACTGTCCAAACATAACTAAAGTTTGTCATAAATTATGAAAATATTAGATTGACACTTGTGTGGTAAATGATACAACATTCTCTGTCTTGAAAGTTGCCCATTGTATGAAATCTACCATTGGACAAATAATTAATAATCAGTGGGTTAGGTGGAATCAGTATTAGGGGGTGAGCATGTGAACAAAAGCAGACAGTGTAAATTACTTAATAATTTATTATACAAGGGTGAATTGATTTCTTTTCTAAGGGGGGTGGGTGGGGTTGAGGAATTCTTATCCATCCCATCGCTCTCCTTGTAGATTATAATGCCATAGTAAAAATGATTAACATATTTTATATTTACTTTCAGAGTGTCCAAATATAACCCACAAAGACACAAAGAAGTGGTCAATAAAACTCAAACATGCTGAAAGATTATTATGTAAGTAATAACCCCTCAGATGATGATACTAACAATGATAATAATAGCAATGATAATAAAGTCCTAGTTCACCAGAAGGTAAAAATTCACAATTTAAATTACAAAAGCTACATGTACAACAGAAAAAAAGTAAATGGAGAACATATAAGATGACTTGAGAGTCCCTTTCAGTGCCTTTTCGGGTCACCATCCACTAATGAAAAGATGATTTATTGTCAATGAGGCAGTTTCTTTGTTAGGCAACAAAATTGTGTGTACATTTTACTAGTAATCCTCAATGAAAGTGCCTCAATAAAGATATTAAGACCTCGCCCCTTTAATTATGTTCTCCCTCTAAACATTTATGCTTTTAAGCCTTCCTTTGGACTCCACTTCTACTAAATTGTGTTAAAAAAAAGGAAATTCTTTGATTTTGGAAAAATCCAGATTCACCACCACTTTCCCATCAAGTTTCACAAACACCAATTGATTCAATCATTATGGTTTTAGATGTCTTTTTTGTTTGGAGGGAAGGGGGTTGAAGTGTTGGTTGAAATTCAATCAGTGGCATTGGTGTGCTACTTGAAAGGGTGCTGAGGTGTACACTCTTGCAATTTGGTAGTATTGTGTCAATGGTGAGGTTGCTACCTTAAATTCATTTAATGAGCTCAAAAAGGCTCAAGCATTTACAAATTATAACCATTTATCAGCTTCTGGAATGATTAAGGTGAATTTATTAACATATCTTGTTCCAAAAATCATTGAAATACATTTGGGTTTTCTTTGTAAAACCCCTCATAAGAATCTTCTATGTAATATTAATGTACCAATGGTTTTATTTAAATTTGAGTTTTCACTACTCGAACATTTTGAATCATGACTTTTCTGAACTGTGGACACTGTTTGAATTTTACGATTTATCTTTAAAAGAATCTCTTTGTTTAGTTCATAATAACATGGAGAGTAAATGCCAAAAGCTAACAATTACAATAGTATATAATGAAGGAATTACTTTTGAATAAGTTTTCATTATGCTGTAGATAGTGCATTATAATAGTAAAGATTAATATGGAGTCTAATCATCAACTAGTGTGGTATTGATTGCAAATTGAGGTCCAAGAATGTTTAATTTGTGTTTGTCTTAGTTGGAAGATTTTGAGGTGTTGTCCCAGACAGCTCGTGAGGTGTGGTTAGCAGAGCAGTGCTCAGCCTTTGAAACACAAATACAGAAATTGTCACGTGAAAGAGAACAGGACCATTTTCTTGAGGAGTTCTATCGCAAGCTGAAACAAGTGACTCGTCGTTGGCAGTCGTGGAATCATAAATCCTTTGGAGGCGTTACTTCCAGGGGGTATGTTGCGCATTTCTTTTACATTAAGTTTCCCAGCATATTATATTTCAAAGCTTGTTTCAGAGAAGTTTGCATCCTCATTCAAAGTGACTCAGACTTGTTTCCACTACCTCTGTGACCTAAAAATTCAGTTTGTCCATCGTTAGTGATTCTGTGATTGCGCTTAATTTCTTATTTGTTTGTATTCCTTGTTCTTTGTGTTGATTGGCTTGTGATCGTGTACGATGTCACTTGACAGGTATGTGTCTGAGTTGGCCTCTTGGGAAAGGAATGTACAACTTCGTGGAGTGTTGTTACCTAAGAGCCAATCAAATTCGCCTAACTCGAACGTGCTTCAACGATTTGATGAACTCTGTATTCACTTCGAGAATCTCCTTGAAAGTTTCAAACAAGGTCTCTATCAGCCACTTTCTGACTTTTTTCAAAACGAAAAAATACTTTGTCATCTTAAAAGCGTTCCTAAAGACTTAGAGAAAGTTTTGAATCAATGGCATCTTCTTCTTACCTCTGGTGTTATCGACGAGAGATTATTCAGCCCGACGAGTGCTGAAGGACTTTATCCTGTAGGAATACGAAACCGATTCCACGACTTTGATCTGGTGTTACGACTTATTCCTGACCTAACAGAAAAAGCTTATGAAGCTTTGCGACTCGCCCGTCGGTGGAGGTTGATTGGAAAAACCTCTGCTGTCCAGCGAGATGAAACTTATATTATTTCCAGAGAACAGACAGCTAGGCTGCAAAGGCGTCGCATATCCAAAAGTTTGAAAAAAGTGAATACTTTGGAGGAGGAACTAAAGCAGTCTAAGGCACAGTGCCTCTCTCTTGAAGAGGAACTTGATAAGTCCAATTCGAAATACCAGGAAATTGAGAAAGTGGTCACTGCTTACCGACAGCAATGCAATCAGTTGGAGAACGAGCTTGAAGTCGTGAAAAGAAGATGTGAATCGCTGAAAGAAAAGTTAGAAAACTCCAAAAAAGAAAGTAGAAGCGCGGGTAATGAGATAGAGAGCTCTCAGGAACATTGCCGTGTCTTACAACAAGAACTGAACGCTGCTAGACTCAAGTATTGTACACAGAAAGTGAAATTTATCAACACCAAGAAACGATGCGTTCAACTGACAAACCAACTAAATACAACTCGAGAACAGTTGACGCAACTGGAATGTGAACTCGAGGCGAGGAAGAAACGGTACCAGGCACTACAAGTTAAACTGGAAAATTCCAAGAAAAACATTTTTACACAAGGGAACATGCTGGACGTACTACAAAACCAGTGTTACATGCTGAAAGAAGAGTTAGACGGAACAAAAACAAAGTGTTTACAGTTAACATGCGAACTGGAGAAATCTCAGGACAGATGTTCCACTCTGGAAAGAGATGTGAGCGGGTTAAAAGAGCAGTTCCAAAACTTAGAGATCGAGCTTAGGAGAGCAAAGACACGAGAAGAACTGTTAGTTCAACAGAACGCTCAGTTAAGGAAGCTCTTTCAAGGTTTGTGACAAGAACTGGCTGTTACTTTGATATAATTATCTTGGTAATTTGCCAATCATCATAATAGTCTTTTGTCCTTGTGGCCTCTGTCCATTGGGCGTAGTGGTGAACTTGACAATAACAAGCTCCTTGCGGCTCTTGGTGACTTTTGTCGCCACCTTCAGTTCAGACTTCCCACTCAGGTTCTTCCCACTAAGAGTCCGGTTTCCTTTTGCCCCTCGGGGGCTCAGTGGAGGGCGAACCTGGTATTGTCAACGGAAATTATCAATATTTAAACTGAAATTGTTATTTTGCTGTCTCCAAACCTTACCACTATGATCGTTATGTACAAGAAAAAATTTTGAAGGTGAAATGAAACAACATATTAAAATGACACGTGGGTAGGTTAAGAACCTCAATTTATCGGTCAGAACCCAAGCTTGGTCATCTCTGAGGTATTCATAATTACAGCCTAATCAATTTATCAGTCAGAACCCAAACTTTGTCATCTCTGAGGTATTCATAATTACAGCCTAATCAATTTGACGAGTCGGGAAGATTGTCCTTGGATGATGCAGACATACAGACTTGCAAGCGTAAAAATGATGGTACGAATTTGCCGCGAACATTTATGTAGGTGTGTTCTATAACACTAACTGGTATTGCTGTGAAATACATCATGGGTACGGTTAAATATAAAGTATATCAATGCCTCAATGAAGCTTATAGATGTGAATCATGATTTTAATCTTAATAGATAACGGATTACAAGAACCCAGCTTGCTGAAAGTCAATTTACACACACCAGACACAGGTACCCGGATGTATTTCAAATTTCATAAGTACCGCTAAGGTTATGGTCCCTTCAAGGTCCAATGAGATGATTATGAACTAACCCTCTACTTAGGATGGTGGGTGTGCGTCTTTGTTTGTCGGTATAGATTTACCTCTCCTCTTTATTGTATGTCTCTGTATAGTAGAACAGGTACTAAGACATTTGATGTATTTGTTTCAATGTATGTTTTGCCTTTTTTTTTCCAGGCCCCACCTGACTAGCAGTCAGAAGAGGCCGTGATCAGCTGACATCATTCCCAGCTTTACAACTTGATTCCATGTCTTTATAAAGGAGTCATTCTCTTCAAAGGAGAATCGATGCTTAATGAGTCAAAAGCCGTAATGGACGAAATTCTTTTTTACAAATTCAACCACGACAAAACAAATCGTCTCCTCTGATGTAGGCACTCGCAGTCAACTCATTACCAATCCTCAGAGGTGTCGCTTGTCTATGGACACAGCAGATACTACTAATCGAAACCCGCTAGTTTTTTTCTTCAACGGGAAAACGAATTAAAAATGTTTTTTGTGTATTTTATACGGCACCCAAAATTTGGTCTCCAAATACAAAATTAATAGGGGAGTAAAGAGAGTATTCAAAATGTAAAAAAAAAAGAGTTTAATTGAATTAACTGCTGAGATAAACACTCTGTATGTCTAGAATTATTTAGATAATAGATATCAGATTAGTTCATAGATAATATTTATGGATTAAGGTTAAACCGAAATATTTCAACCGTTTTCAGTCTCTATTGATGGGAGCTTAAGAAATTAAGACAATCTCGCGAAAATTATTTACAGAAAGGTATTCATGCAGAACATGTATTGGCAAATAAAAAGATACTTGGAAGAACAATAAAGTTAATGAGGAAATAAGAGTTTTCCTGAAACCCAGAATTAGCTCTAATGCTTATCGACTCATGATAGGTTTCAATGTTGTCGACTGATTGCAACTGCCTCACTGACAGCCATGAATTTTATCCATGACACATTTAGTGAATATCTTCACAAAGTCTAAAGGCCCTTCTACAGTTTTTGCTCTACTCTCTTTTTTGCTAGAAGTGAAATACAACTTGATTTAAGGCGCAGATAAGTGAACTCATTGTGGTTTAGAGATTTAAGGCCCAAGAGTTCCCTTAATTCTGGCAGTTCTCGTAGAAATCGCAAAAACCTCAAGCCTCTTTTCCATGAAAATTCTAACTTTTCTGATGACTAAATTACTTGGGATCGAGGCCGTCGCGTCGTCACACGTCTGCCGTTATAATTGAAGTTTGTTTCAAGTTCAATTTTTTTCTGTTATCACCGCTGGTCAACATGTTCGACCGAACGACCTCTTTGAATCTGGAACATGGTGAAGTCCTCTGTCTGTCAGTCCACCAGTCAGAGGCCAGTTCCAGTTCTTGTTGCAAATCTTTGACATACGAGGCGGGAGAAACTTTAATGTAGTACGAAAACTAAACAAGAAGAGAAAATTTAAGATAAGTATTTCCCCTGACCTGGTCATTCCAACAGAAAAGAATAGTTGGAGTCAATAATAGTCGACGACCGGCCCAGTAAATTAACACGGTCAGCATATCAAAACTTAACGAGCAATTACAACTTTCATTCTCTTCAACTGTTTACAGCTTTTTTTTTTGTTTTTTTTTTTTGAATATTTTCATGACACCAGTTAATGGTGCAAGCGTTTCCATAATAAAATATAGCCCCAGTTGTTCAAAGGTTGAATGACTATATCCACTGGATAAATGACTATATCCACTGGATATATGACTATATCCACTGAATAAATGACTATATCCACTACATAAATGACAATATCCACTGGATAAATCTGAATCCAGTGGATAGCGTAGTACATCTTGCTATCACTTATCTGCTAGATACCGATTCATCCGTTGGATAATGCTATCCGCTCTTCATACAACTGGAGCCAGGAAATGACTGTTAGTACTTCCACAACACTTCCCGATACCGATTTACTATAGAAAACAATACTACGTGCCCAACCCAGCCGAGTCTTTGTCTTTGTACAAACCTCTTTCTGGGCGAACATCAACTCCAGTACACAGTGTTCTTGTTTGTTTACTGTGGCCTGATCCAAGCGCAGGACGAGTGAAGGGTTGTCCTCCTGAAGAACAACGCAACTATAATTGGCTAATAACTAAATGAAGTAATTTACTAGTTTCATGACATTCTTCCAAGAAAAGTGAACTTCTGCTCTGGAGTTCAATGATACCTACCTCCTCGTGATCGAACACAAATAAAAAGTTATCCTTCAGCAGGAACATTTGCGGAGCTGTTTCTTGTAAATACCGACCTCCTTCCTGACAAACTGCAAGATGAAAGGTTCATCGACGAGAAAAATCACAAGTAGCAAGTCAAAAGTAACTCAAAGGAGGGAAAGAATGGGAGTTATGGACAGAATAACTTGGACAACTATGTTCAATAGCTACTTTCTGCACACCACAGAGGAGGGAGAATACAATATAGTGACGAACTTCGAGCTACTTGACGCTATAGGGGAGAGTTCTCAATAATTATTGATTCAAACACAATAACAAAAAAGTCACTTACATGTTGTTACTTTACTTTTGCCGTTTGTGCTTTGTAGAGACTTCGCATCCAAGTTCTGATAAAAGAAGTTTAGGAAATTAGTCTGATGCTCGAGGTCGATCAGTCAGCAGTATTGGATAGTCAGTCACGTAGTGGCCGGTGTTGTGGTCTATCTTTGTGTAGTGTCTAATCTAGGGTGAATTGGGAAGGGAAGGTGAGATCAATACATGGACTGAAGTGGCTGCATATTGCGCCTGATGAATTCCGATCTCATCTTAACTGATTGTAAAGCGCGACTGATTATCTAAATAGTAGTTTGCGCTATATAAATGTTGAATTATAATTATTATCGGTCAATGTGTCTTTTAGTCAGTCAGCCAGCGAGTCAGTCCATCGTTCAGTTGGTCAGTCGGTGTTTCTGCCGATCGATCGGTCTTTCTGTCTGTTTGTCGATCTGTCTTTCTGTCTGTCGGCAATCCGGGCAATCCGGTCAGTCCGTCGGTTTGTCAGTCGGTCAGTCTGTTGTTCGGCTGGACCATCCGTCAGTAGGTCTGTCACGCAGTTCACCTATTATGATATGCCTACCCCATAAAGTTTTTCTGCCAGTCCTTTGTCGGAAATAAAATATTTAAAAATCTGACGAAGTTGATGAACGTGTCGTTGACGACGATCAACCTGTCGGATAAAAAAATTAATAAATAAAGAATAAAACTGTTAAAAGATATTTTAAGATTTTTATCACTGATAAAGGTAAGAGGCTAGATTATTAGTTCATTGATATATACTTAATAGTTTGTTAGTTTAGTTTAATAGTTTAGTTTAATAGTTTAAAAATAAATATTACATCCCAGCCAAGGGGCTGGATTGCATAATTTTTTACAATGATATACTATATTATAATAGATACATACAGGAGTACAATAAAAATTACAATTGTATCAGAAACTATAAAAAGATAATATCACTAAGATCGAGTAATACTAGGCAGGCTTGATCAATCGAATATTCACACAGTGTTGTTTGCTAGTCGGCACTTGCTCGGGATGAAGGACCGCTGAAAACGCCTGGTGCGCACGCCAGGGAGGTCGTACTTTCTAATTCTCCTTAGGTTATAATGGTTTACATGATTGGTAGAAAATAAATGAGATAGTTTGTGGTCATAAAAGATTGCATCAAACAGTTTAGAACACTGTTCCTCGCGCCGAGACTGCAAAGTGTCTAAATTATAGCTACTTAAGCACAGACTGTAAGAACAATCTGGTAAGATGATACTTAACGCCCTTTTTTGTACTCGTTCGATATCATTACTTAAATACTCGGGCAATGCATGGTGAAAAACGGGCGAACAATATTACAGGACAGGTCTAATAACAGTGCAGTAAAAGTTGATTATGTCACGAGGGTCCACTCCCAGAGCGGGAGTGGAGAACCAGGAAATATAATCTCTTGTTGGCTTTGTTGATAGCCTTAGATATATGATCATTCCACGTAAGATCATTAGAGGGAGTCACACCTAAGATCTTGGCGGAGCTGACAACAGAGAGATCCTTCCCATTAACGGTTACAGGCTCGAAAGCACGCTTGCTCTTCTTAAAGTCGATGTTCATGACTTTACAGTTATCGGCATTTAGGGTCATTCGTTGATCGCACGACCAGGTTTCAACAGCGTGAACAGCACTTTTGGATGTTGCTCGACTCTCCTCGTGGCACGATCTTGGCTACAGTAGTGTCATCCACATATTTCCAGGAATGGAATCCACGGACCCTCAGGTCATTTATCATTAGGATAAATAACCAAGGGCCCAGTTGGGACGCCAGCAGGGACAGGGCCCCATTCCGAGAAACAGTCCCTGGACAGCTTGACACGTTGCTGGCGATTCGTAAGAAAGTCAGCAACCGAGCAGGCGACACTCCTAGGAATAGATAGACTGAAGACCTTACGCACGAGTAGGGTGTGGTCAATAAAGTCGAACGCCTTCCTATAATCAAATAGGACAACTCGCACGGCAGCTCCACTACCGTCAGTGACATTGGACCAGTTGTGCACCATGGATATTAGGGCAGGAAGGGTGGACGATTTTGGAATTCCTCCGTACTGGTCGGGGTCAATAACTTCCACCACAGCAGGGCTAATATGAAGACCAACCACGAAATCTTCGCAATTTTAGACAGCGCCGGAGTCAGAGAGATAGGGCGAAGATATTTACTGATATCCTCAACAGGTTTCACCCTTGGTATTGGGACAACATTGGCCATCTTCCATGCTGGCGGGAGTCTGTTCTCGGCAAAACTGCAGTTCATGATCGAAGACACAGGATAAGCAAGAATGTCAGCGTACTCCTTAAGGAGCCAATTAGGTTTCTCATCCGGTCCAGCCGCCTTAGGGGGGTTCAACTTTAGAAGCGCCGAAAAAACGGCAGACTCAGGAATAGTAAATAGCGTGGATTCCGCCTCGGGGGTGGGAACAAACTCCAACCTCTGAAGGGACTCCAGAGGCTCAACAAACGCAGCGTTGATCATATTTGCGATGTTGTACTCAGAGAGGCTTTCAGTGCCTTCAATTTGTAAGCATGAAGTAACAGTGTCGGTATCAGTTGCGGGAGTCATTCCCGCAATTCGCTTGACGGAGTTCCACCACTGGCTGGGTTTGGTATGCTTTAGCTGGTTAACTTTTGAAGCGTAAAATCTTCCACGGAGTGCCTTACGTTCTCGGTTCACTGCATTTCGATAGTAATGGAAAAGACTGACGTCTCCGTTGCTGAACGCCTTTGGCCGCAGCTTGACTAGCTCTGTAAATTCTGGAGAAACCCACGGCGCGTCCCTTGCGTGGATCTTGGATTTTTTGACGGGTATGATAATGTTCAATCCAGTCTTGACAACGTCCGTAAACAGTTGGACTTTGGCTGCGCAACCCTGCGTGCGCTCTACAAGCGACCATGCAGTCAATTCCGCAAAAATAGCGACCGAGTTCGAGTTTCCTGCTGGCGCGCGCGTCGCGGCGCCACATCTGCTCTCTCAAAGAGCCCTCTCTCACAGGTCTCGTTTTAGGGCGCAATATGACAACAATGTGATCGGAGAGTCCGAAAGGCGGCAAAGTCAGTGCAGAGTTCTCGTCGTACAGGTAGGGGAGGTTGGTTAAGACCAAATCCAATGTCCGCTCGCCCCGTGTTGGTTTGTTCACCAGCTGTTTTAATCGAAACTGAGTCAAGATGCGTTTGATGTTAAGGCAATTGAAATCTCCGCAAAGCAGAAGGCCACAGCCGGGAAATTCTCCCTCGATTGCTGTGAGGGTCGAAGATAGATGGGTTAGCATCGCTTGATCGTTCAAAGTTTGCTCAGGATGATATATTGTGCCGGAAATCAGACATGGGATACCGCGCGGTAAACATGACGGCCTGAGCCACGTCCACAGAGTGTCAAAGGTCGGATTATGCAGGTGATGGAGAATGCTGAACTTGATACTATTCTTAATGTATTATCTTACACCACCGTGAATGCCTGTAGTCCGATTTCTTGCGGTAAAGTGATATCCAGGAATATTAATGAGATTATCACAGATGGTGTCCCTCAGCCACGTTTCGGTGAAAAACGCTAGGTCAGGCCTCCAGTCCAGGATGACAGATCTCACCTCGTCGATCTTAGGCGCGAGGCTCATGGTGTTGGCAAGTAGGAGACTTAGACCGTACGTTTGGGCTTCCGTAGAACTAGTTGGTTTATCCACAGCGGCAACTCTAGAGATAATACGGTTGCGCTGAAAAGGACACGCGGGATTGTTGTGTCGGACCCGTGAGTGACTACGGGACTGGATCACTGGGATGGGACAATTGTTTAGACTGCCTGCAACGGAGGAGTCAATCTGAATATTTTTAAATGCGGTTCGTGAAGAGATATGCAAATTATCATCTTGAAGGTCGCCACTGACTTCAAAGAAAATGGGGTTTTCCCGTAGAAGAATCCACAGGACGTGGCGATGGTTGATCAATTCCAAGACTTAACGGCGAATTTCTTCGGAATTTCCTCAGTCCTCCGCGAGAGCCGCGCCGTGTCGGCTTGACTCGGGATATACCAAGAGCTGTCAAGCGGCACCATAAGGCTGAAGAAAGTTTGTTCGTACAGTGAGGCGACGACAACAGATTTTTCAAAAAGGAACTTGCCTAGACGGCACCCATTTCAAGAAAGATGTCGGAGGACAACTGGGTTAAACATTGGGTAAGAAAAAACAAAATTTCGAAACTCGAAACTCGAAATCAGTGCGGAGATAGAAAAGGCATGTGCTGCCAGCTAGGCGCTCGCGTGCATAGAATACCCATATACATATTCAATTATCTTAATATTCTTAATGATTCAAAGTTAAGATGGAGATCGACAAAAAACAGACCATATCACAAAACAGAATGATTTTTAATTACATATGTCTATATCAGATTGGTCATGATTTCCAAAACAATATTTCAAGAAAATATCCTAATTGGAGTTACTTAGGTGCAGATTTTTTAAACTGAGACTTCCGACATACCTGAGTTTGAAGTCTTTTGAGTTCTGCATCGCATTTGTCATGTTTCCGTTTTAAGAGCTGGATTAAGAAACAAAAGGAAACAAAACAGTGTCGTCAGAACCTGAAAGGTCAATTACCACTTTTTCAATATCTCAACTTCATCTCAGTTTCGTAAAATTAGTACTAAGGCACGGGAGAAAGGAAGTTACTAGCAGTTTGCACAAGACGTTGTTTTAAAATATATCCATTTAATTGCGTAATAACGCTCAAACTACTTACGTCTCTCTCATGCGCGATAGCTTCTTTCTGGAGAACCATTGTCGTTTGTCTCCGATTAGTTACAGAGATTTTGTTCTCTAGTTCGTTCATTTTCTCCGTGTATTCTTTGCTCATTACCTAGACTAAGGAAACGCTTAACTTTATGTTTGAAGTTTATGTGACTTGAGACCAGTTTGCATTGCATTCCGCTCATTGTATCAAGTGACGTATTTAACGAGTTTTACATAGATGTACTAACGCACAGTTACCATTAAATCTGAAACTAGAGCTTGGAGATAGTCGGTTGTGCAAGTTAATACCGATCAAGAAAAGAATAAATGATACCTACAAACCTCTTTTCCTTTCTTCAGACTATCAATTGTTATTTCTTGATTTTTTATGGTAGCCTGGGAATCATCTTCCACGGCTTTCGCGTCAGAGAGCTGAATTTGAAGCACCGAGTTTTCTGCTTTTAAACGTCGAACAGCTTCTTCAACGTCAGTCTGGAAAACCGAAGAAAAAAACCCGAATAAAATGAAAGGAGGATTCTTTTGCAAAATCATTGTCCTTAACTGAGATACTTACAAAGTGTTTATTTTCATCTTCAAGCCTCAAAGCTTTTCTTTTGAGAATCTCCATTTCTTTGAGGCTTTCTTCCAGTTTCTTACGCACGTCTTTCAGTTCCTCAGACATCTCTCGTGTTACTTCCATCAAAAGTTTTCGTTCCTCTTCTACCAAACGACACCTCAAATGAAACATTCCAAGGATTTTCAGAATTTAACTGTAGTACTGCCACAAACAAGAGAAAACTTAAAATTCCAATTATGACCATGCCATCACTTGTTAGAAATAATGTTGGCAGGTTAGCAGCTAGTTTCAGAGTCGGTTCCTAATCATAGAATGACAATCAATCAATCAATAAAACTTTGACACGCTTTGAAGGAAAAGTTATCAGTTCAAAGCCTTGTTGTACCTGACATGAGCAGTGTTGAGTTCCTCCACAAGTCTCGCAGTTTCCATATCAGTCGCACAGATCTCGAGTCCTGGCGTGCTATGGAACAAGTTCGCCAAGAAAGCAAGGTTCAGCCGTGGATTTCCCTGGAAAGATGAAAAGAATAAAAAGAAATCAGATGTGATAGAAAATGAATACAACGCTAGACTATAACATCGAATTTTCAAAATAGTCATTACTCTTGATTGTTGTGAGCTGGTTGTTCTTTTTTTTTCTGAACAATTTTCTTACGGGACAACATCTCTGTTAAGGAGCATGATCCACGTCTAGAAAAGTACCTTAACAAGTTCATGTGGCGTCAGGTATTTCTTGCATCCTATCAGGTCAGCCATGGACAAGACTTTCTTTGCCCTGATGAACAAGTCTTCTTCATCCAAAGGAGACAGACTGCACCTTTCCATAACGTATAGATGGTAAGAATCCTCAAGTTATCAGTTGACACGGAATAAAACAATTTCCTATTATTATTTCCATTAGAATAAATATTCTAATGGTGTATACCAATCTATATATGGTTTATCTTAAGCCTGCTCTTCACCTAATTTTTCCTGACCAATTGTTAAAAAACCAGCTGAGTGCAGGTGCACCACCACATTTAAAGCATAACTTATCGTTCCAGGTCACTCAATATAACAGAGAATAATTGAGAGAACAATACCTCTGTGGGGAGAGCTGATTCAGAAGATAGCTGTATATAACAGAGTCCTACATGGAGGAAAGAAAACACAACCTAGTTAAGTCAGTGTAACCGGAAGTAGGGAATGAAAATAATGAGAGGGAAGGGAGGAAAGGGAAAAGTGAATAAAAGAGAAAAAGCTTTCATAATGATTCCAAAAAAGGGCCGTATTTGGAGTTCGCCCCAAAGTTTTAGATTTTTTAAGAGCAGTCTATAGCATCAATAAAATTCTTGATTGACGTAATAAAATTGTGTAGTTAATGAAGTGATCTCGTTTATTGTCGATTATTCATCAATCGCTTGTTACGAACCTTTAAACTGCAGCCGAAGTCTATCATCTCTGGGCCCCTATAAAGTGTGTGTCTCAGTTGATAATTGACCCATCTGATCAGTAACTCTTCTGCAGGAAGCTAAACAGTTCAACGCATGTCAGTTGCTAACGATGAGTTTGCGTCGATAAATTAAAACATCGGCAAGATAGTTTTCTTTACTACTTAAAGTTCTCTATCATAGTGAAATATCACGTTGAACCTGCTCAGAAAATAAGAACGAAGAATTGAAATATATATACCTCAACAAATCTGGGCCAGTTTTCATTTGACCTGCGCATCAATGCTAAATTTGGATGGTTTTCCACATTCACATAGGAAAGCAACCCAACCTATAAGATTTCAGTAATCAGGTTAAACACAAATTTACCTTTCCAAGGTTAGCAGTAAGACCAGTGGCGGATCCAGGGGGAGGGTCTGGTGGGTCCGGACCCCCCCTATCAAACCTGACGCTTACAACTTTGAGACAGGATCGTATATCGCTTTTAACTAGCTGATTTTTTTCAACGAATCCAAATAAACGGTAAGTGGCCAAGGAATTATAACGTGCAACCGCGACTGGTGGGAGGGGGTGTGGGGGAGAAGTAATTTGCCTCAAAGAGTCCAACAGTCCTTTCTGAACCAAAGTTTGGACCCCCCCCAATCAAAAATTCCTGGATCCGTCTCTGAAGACAATTGTTTTGTTTTTAAAGTGAGCATGGTTGTTACAATGACTGTAATACATATCTTACCCGCACGATTTTCCACAGAATTTCTAAGACCAAGTATTCCTGGGAAAATTAAAATGACCAATATTTTTAGCATCAAATCAAATGAAACGAGTCACAACTAGCCAGCATTATCGCAAAAAAGTGAAATGTTAAATTTAGCAATTTGTTGTTCACTCATCTCAAAAGTTAAAAAAGAAAAAATAATGGCGGTACCTTTCCACTCCATAAGTCCTCGGCTTTAATGTTTTGCACGTCAATAGCCAATTGCTGTGCTCCTTCTATCACGAGCTTTTGATTCTCTAAGGCCTGATGAATATTTTTAACTTGCTTATTGATCCTGGAGCATGGTATGGTTCCACTTCTGATTCGATTTAATAATTTACTGACAATAAAGAAATCGTAAAAAAGAAACACGGTGAAATAGAGTAAACAGGGTAAAATCATCTGGCTGGTTGTAAATAACTCTTAGAGAACTGCATCGATGTAAAGTTAAAACAACACAAAATCATGTAAATCAAGGCCAGTTTCCACTGCAGAAAAAACAGTCTCTAAGTCGTCACTTCACATCCTCGTTTACAGAAGGGGAAAGGAAACGTAATTTATAAAATATAGTCCTGAAACCCAAGTGACAAGTTAAAGCAAAAATCCAGTTAAGCAAGATAAGATTAGAACGTTTTTTAGGTAAATAGGACAAGACCGAAATAAGGAAGCAACATACGATCACCGGAAATACGATTAAGCATGCCAACAAAACGCTTTATAAATGTTTTAGTAACACTTCATTTCCCTCACCAGAATAAAACACCGTTCTTCTGCGCTTGATATAGCTTCTGTGCGGGTTTAATTGGTAGGCATTCAAGATCGCTGTCCTTACTCATCACAGAGTTAATAAAGTTGACTGAGGCTTCCAGCTATATGTAGCAAGAGAGGAATCAGATATTTCGCCTTAGCACCACAGCATCTCGTTATACAAGACATCTCTCCGGCCGTAGTTTAAACTCGCAAATGTTTCAAGTTTAACTTGAATTTGAACCAGACATTTATTAGACACAATAATTGATATCCACATCGATGAAAAGAGAAATTCCCTTCAGTTGAAGCTATTTATATTCCTTTGAATTTTCGTACGTACAAAGAAAAAAATTGTTTCTTGTTCATCTAAAAAGGCATGTTAGCAATTGTTTGAGCAAAAGTCAGTATCTTAGAAAACGAACTGAAAATCATAGGCAAACAATCTCGTGCAGCATTTATAAACCGACTCTTCTGTGGTGAAGAGTCGGAGCGACGAAGGGCTAACGCTCGAAACGTCAGCTTTTATAACCGTAACGGTGGTCAATTTACCATTTCAACTTTGTTGATATATTCAAATTATCCTAATTAAATGAACTGTTCATTTCATTAAATGTCGTGAAATGTTCTTCAAAACTTTTTACACTTACCTCAGCTAAAGTAAAAGCAAAGGTGGCCATCACACAGAAGTCTACTTCAAACCGATCTGCATTCTACGTCGTGTAGTCCTAAACTTTTGACAACAAATTATTCTAATTTAAAGAGACTTTATGCTCTGGGGATCACGTCCGCATTAAATCGCTGAAACTCAAAACAATCCGCTTCCAAAATCAATCACCGCTATGAATCATTTATCTTTTGTTTCAGAAGATAAACAAAACGGCCGAGTGTAACTAAATCTCTTTATGGCAGACTCAAAAAGAAAAGACTCATATCGGGGAATTCAGCCAAGCGAATCTTATCATTGTGCAATAAATTATCAATCCTGGCACGCTTTTGCCTTCCATACGGATACCATGACGTCATGCTACTTACTGTCATGCAAAATCCATGATTAACGAGACTGTGGAAACGAATAAATATGTGGAGGGATTGCTACTCGTTTCTTAAGGATCACATTTTTAAAATGCAACGATTTGTGTGTCATTAGTGTAAGTCGAGGGTGAAGGGCGTTTACATATTGAGGCAATTGTATGTTACAAGTCTCACGACAAAAAACCTTTTACGAGGCAACCTCGAGGCGACTCTCACCCAGGCTCTCAGTTTGCTGATGGGAACGCAAAGCTGATACTGTAACATTGAAGGAAGACTACGACTGGCGCCTAAAAAAATCTGAAGAGAACCTCTTACTGCAAATAAACAAGAATGAGAAGATCTGATAACGTCGAGCAGGCAAAACTGGAACTTAACTCCATAAACACCAACTTACAACTACTAAATGAAGAACAGTTTGGTTGACGAGATACAATGAATATATGAAGTTCATATATTTTGAACTGCGGTATTAGATACGTATGATGCACGATCCTCGCAGTAGATAGCGCTATTTATGCAATAGCGAAAATCAGACCTGAAAAAAAAAAATCAGGCCTGTACGGGACTCGAACCACAGACCTCTGCGATACAAGTGCAGCGCTCTACCAATTGAGCTAACAAGCCAACTGGGAGCAGGCCGTTAAGTTGATTCGTAATAAACCCGTGATGATAAATCAGATATTATGAATATAACCCCAGTTCAAAAAAGTGCAGCGCTCTACCAATTGAGCTAACAAGCCAACTGGGAGCAGGCCGTTAAGTTGATTCGTAATAAACCCGTGATGATAAATCAGATA